TATCCATCATGTTCTGTGCTGTGGACTGTAGATCACTGGTCTTTTGCACAGCGGCGTCTTGCGCGTTCTTTGCAGCGTCACCGACTTGTTCTGTCAACGGCTTGGATGAAGTTTGCTCATCCACTTTTTGTTCAGCTGATGCCACAAGACTGAAAACTTGGGTCAGCCTCATATATGTGCAAGTATCAGGAGAAATTTCGACTTACTTTTGGGCTTGACCAATGGCACTCGCCGCCAAGTTTCGTGCCTTGTCTACATATGACTCTTGACCGGCGGCACTGTCAGTCTTGCTTTCAGCTTCTGATTTCAAGTCCTTTGCTTTGTCTTTAGCATCTTCTGCTGCTCCTTCAGCTTTCGACTGTCCAGCAGCAACATAACTAAGAATTGGAAGAAAGCTTATGTCAAACGCAATGCTTTTTCAAATGATACAAGGACTCAAATCAAGCCTCACCTCTTAACCGTCCCTAGTGCCTCTCCCGTAAGGTCGCGAGCCTGGTTGACGAGTCCACCGAGAGTCTGCCCACCAGTCGCGTTGTCTGCCTCCGATACTGCCTTGTCTTTCGTTTCGGCCGCCTTAGTTTGCGCAAGACCGGCAGTCTCTTTGACGTATTGAATTGTATTCGATGCTAGAGCTGTAGCCTGCTCGATTAGGCTCTGAAAAATATCAAGTAGCAAAATGAGTCGCATGCATAGAACACAGCAGAAAATGAGAACTTACATTTCCGTGTGCCTTTGCGGTGTCTGCTGCGTCACCAGCTTTAGATTTGGCTTCATCGGTAAGCTCTTGGGTCTATTGCAGAGAGCCTCAGTCAAATGCAACTCAAAGTAGACATCATACACATGACGATCCGTTAAGCTTGTCGCTCACCTTGTCTTTCGCTGAGGAAACGTTGCTCTCAGCGGTCTCTTTTGCTGAGGCAGCCTGATCACTTGCTTTGTCTTTGGCTGAGTTGGCTTGGTCGCCCGCTTTGTCCTTTGCAGAACTGGCTTCGTTTTTGGCTTTGTCGACTGTACTTGAACCGGAGTCAGTAGCTTCCTGTCCTTTCTTCTGAGCGACACCAGCAGTTTCCTTTGCTGCATCAACCGCGTCAGAAGCTAAAGAAGCGGCCCGGTTGTAAAGGTCCTATAGTTTGGTACGAAAGTTCAAGTAGGAAGAATTCAATTTCGGCCCGAAAGGTTTGGAAGTTAGAAGAGAAAGGAGATTGGGTGATCTCTATCAATAATCAATCTAACGTACTTTTCCAGATTCTTGGGCCTGGTCACTAGCTTGACCTGCTTTCTTTTGAGCATCTTTCGATACATTGTTGGCCTATAGACGTAAAGTAGAACATCAAAGCGATGTTAATAATTCTTGATAGGTGTCTCTGTGGGGTCAACACGAGATAAAGTGAAAGATCCAACCATATCCCCAGCTTTGTCTGAAGTGTTTGTAGGCATGATGTTTGAGATAAGAAGTTAAGGAAGTATTGGGTGGTTTGAATTGAGGTGAGGTAAGTAAAAGTGTGTGAGGACTGAGATGAAGACGATGGAGAGTAAGGATGGAAATAAGTAGTCGGCTGATTGGCTTTGAAAGGGGAAGAAAGGTGAAGTCTTTTGTAATGTTCTTTATCAATAATTTCCTTTCTTGAATCTCAACTCTCAAACCGGTTTTGCGTCATGACCACCGGCTTTGGTCGATTGCCAAA